CAATAAAAGTGATACATCACATAAAAAATTGAAAGATAAAAATCATATAGTCATATCAATTGATGCAGAAAAAGCATTTGATAAAATCCAACACCCTTTCCTGATAAAAACTCACAACAAGGTGGGAGTACAAGGATCATACCTCAACATAATAAAAGCTATATATGATAAACCCACAGCCAACATTATACTCAATGGGCAAAAACTAAAACCATTCCCTCTAAGAACAGGAACAAGACAGGGATGCCCACTCTCGCCACTCCTGTTTGACATAGTATTGGAAGTACTAGCCATTGCAATTAGACAAGAGGAGGAAATAAAAGGCATCCAAATTGGAAAAGAAGAAGTAAAGTTATCCTTATTTGCAGATGATATGATATTGTACATTAAAAAGCCAAAAGACTCCATTAAAAAACTAATTGACTTAATAAATGAATTTGGCAATGTAGCAGGATACAAAATTAACGCCAAGAAATCCATGGCATTTCTATACACCAACAGTGGAATTACAGAAACAGAGACTAAAAAAGCAATTCCATTTACCATCGCACCAAAAAAAATAAGATACCTAGGAATAAATTTAACTAAGGAAGTAAAGGACCTATATGAGGAAAACTACATGACATTGAAAAAAGAGATAGAGGAAGATGTAAAGAAATGGAAGAATATACCATGTTCATGGATTGGTAGAATCAACATCATCAAAATGTCCATACTTCCTAAAGCAACCAATAGGTTCAATGCACTCCCCATTAAAATACCAATGGCATATTTCACTGACCTAGAAAGAACTCTCCAAAAGTTCATTTGGAACAATAAAAGACCCCGAATAGCCACAGCAATTCTGAGAAAGAAGAGTAAAGTAGGAGGGATCTCAATACCAGACTTCAAACTATATTACAAAGCCACTTTTCTCAAAACAGCCTGGTACTGGCACAAGAACAGACATATAGATCAATGGAATCGAATTGAGAATCCAGATATTAACCCAAATCACTATGCTCAATTAATATTTGACAAAGGAGGCACGAATACACAATGGAGTCAAGACAGTCTCTTCAATAAATGGTGTTGGGAAAATTGGACAGATACATGCAAAAGAATGAAACTGGATCACCAACTTACACCATACACAAAAATAAACTCAAAATGGATACAGGACTTAAACATCAGACAGGAAACCATAAAAATACTAGAAGCATCCACAGGCAGCAAAATCTCAGACGTATGGCAAAAGAACTTCTTACTGACACTACCCCTAGGGCAATGCAAGCTAAAGAGAAAATAAACAAATGGGACTACATCAAAATAAAAAGCTTTTTTACAGCAAAAGAAACCATCAACAAAACAACAAGAAAGCCCACTGTGTGGGAGAACATATTTGCAAATGTTACCACTGATAAAGGTTTAATCTCCAAAATCTACAGACAGCTTATACAACTAAATAAAAGGAAGATGAATGATCCAATTAAAAAATGGGCAATGGACCTAAATAGAATATTTTCAAAAGAAGACAGAAGGAAGGCCAAAAGGCACATGAAAACATTCTCAAAGTCACTAATTATCCGAGAGATGCAAATCAAAACAACAATGCGGTACCATCTCACACCTGTCAGAATGGCAAACATCAACAAATCAACAAATGACAAGTGTTGGCGAGGTTGTGGAGAAAAAGAAACCCTCATGCACTGCTGGTGGGAATGCAGACTGGTGCAGCCACTGTGGAGAACAGTGTGGTTTTTCCTCAAAAAACTGAAAATGGAACTCCCATTTGACCCAGTAATCCCACTCCTACGAATATATCCCAAGAAACTAGAAACACCAATCAGAAAGGATATATGCACCCCTATGTTCATAGCAGCACAATTTACAATAGCCAGAATTTGGAAACAACCTAGGTGCCCATCAGCAGATGACTGGATCAAAAAACAATGGTACATCTACACAATGGAATACTATGCTGCCATAAAAAAGAAGGAATTCTCATCATTTGCAGCAACCTGGATGGAATTGGAGAACATCATGCTGAGTGAAATAAGCCAATCAATGAAAGAGAAGCACCACATGACCTCACTCATTTATGTATAATAAAGAACATTATAAACTGATGAACCAAAAGATAGATACAGAGACAGTAAAGCATCAAGCAGACTGTCAAATTACAACGGGGAGGGGAGGGAGATTTGGGGGAAATAACAGATCAATCGAAGGACTTGTATACATGCATATAAGTACAACCAATGGACATAAAACTCTGGGGAGGGAGGGTACGAATGGGAGGGAGGGGGGGCAAAAAAATCAATAAGATGTATTTAAACAAAAACAAACAAAAACAAAGTAAAAAACTAGACTGTATTTTTTGGAGATGACTGAGTGCTAAAACTATATAAAAGATAAGTAAGGAAAGCATGCATACTTATGTGCCAAAACCATAGAGAAAGAGAGGATAGTAGCTCTCTTTAGAAGAGACAAAGAGAATTATGATAGAGCAGGGTGTGCAAGAGGTGTGGATTCTGTAATGTTGGCAATTTTCTAGTGTTTGATTTAAATGGTGACTAAATGGACTCTCACCACTCCTCTTTGACATAGTACTAGAAGTATTAGCCATTGAGATCAGTCAATAAGAAAAACTAAAAGGCATCCAAATTGTAAAAGAAGAAGTAAAACTGTCCTTATTTGCAGATGACATGATGTTGTACATAAAAAACCCAAAAGACTCCATCAAAAAACTATTAGACTTAATAAATGAATTCGGCAATGTAGCAGGATACAAAATTAATGCCAAGAAATCTATGGGATTTCTATGCACCAATAGTGAACTTACAGAAAAAGAGACTAAAAAAGCAATTCCATTTACAATCCTAACAAAAAAAATTAAGATACCTAGTAATAAACTTAACCAAGGAGGTAAAAGACCTATAAACAGAAAATTACAGGACACTGAAAAAAGAGATAGAGAAAGAAGTAAACTGATGGAAGAGCGTACCATGTTCATGGATTGGTAGAATCAATATTATCAAAATGTCCATACTACCCAAAGCAATCTGTAGATTCAATGCATTCCCCATTAAAATACCAACAGCATATTTCATAGACCTAGAAAGAACTTTCCAAAAATTCACCTGGAATTAAAAAAGACCCCAAATAGCCACAGAAATCCTGAGAAAGAAGAATAAAGTTTCTTCTTTCTCAATACCAGATTTCAAGCTGTATTACAAAGCCACTGTTCTCAAAACAACCTAGTACTGGCACAAGAACAGACATATAGACCAATGGAACAGAATAAAGAATCCAGATATCGACCTAAATCACTATGCTCAATTAATATTTGACAAAGGAGGCATGAACATACAATGGCCCCAAATCACTATGCTCAATTAATATTTGACAAAGGAGGCATGAACATACAGTGGAGCTAAGACAGTCTCTTCAATAAATGGTGCTGGGAAAATTGGACAGATAAATGCAAAAAAAATGAAACTAGATCATCAACTTATACCATACACAAAAATAAACTCAAAATTGATACAGGACTTAAGTATAAGATGTGAAACCATAAAAATACTAGAGGCATCCACAGGCAGCAAAATCTCAGACATATGCCAAAAGAACTTCTTCACTGATACTGTTCCTAGGGCAATGCAAGCTAAAGAGAAAATAAACAAATGGGACTACATCAAAATAAAAAGCTTTTTTACAGCAAAAGAAACCATCAACAAAACAACAAGAAAGCCCACTGTGTGGGAGAACATATTTGCAAATGTTATCACTGATATAGGTTTAATCTCCAACATCTACAAGCAATTTATACAATTTAATAAAAGGAAGATAAATGATCTAAAAAAAGTGGGCAATGGACCTAAATATAATATTTTTGAAAGAAGACAGAAGGCCAAGAGATATATGAAAACATGCTCAAAGTCACTAATTATCTGAGAGATGCAAATCGAAAAGACAATGCAATACCATCTCACACCTGTCAGAATGGCAATCATCAACAAACCAACAAACGACAAGTGTTGGCGAGGATGCAGAGAAAAAGGAACCCTCGTGCACTGCTGGTGGGAATGCAGACTGGTGCAACCAACCACTGTAGAAAACAGTATGAAGTTTCCTCAAAAAACTGAAAATGGAACTCTCATTTGATCCAGGATTCCAACTCCTAGGAATATATCCCAAGAAACTGGAAACACCAATCAGAAAGGATATATGCACTCGTATGTTCATAGCAGCACAATTTACAATAGCTAGGATTTGGAAACAGCCTAGGTGCCCATCAGCAGATGACTGGATCAGAAAACTATGGTACATCTACACAATGGAATACTATGTTGCCTTAAAAAAGAAGGAATTCTCATCATTTGCAGCAACCTCGATGGAACTGGAGAACATTATGCTAAGTGAAATAAGCCAGTCAATGAAAGAAAAATACCACATGATCTCACTCATTTGTGGATAATAAAGAACATTATAAACTGATGAACAAAAAGATAGATACAGAGACAGTAAAGTATTAAACAGACTGTCAAATTACAGTGGGAAGGTTAGGAATAGGTGGGAGAGATAAGAGATCAACCGAAGGACTTGTTATCATGCAATAAGCATAACCAATGGACGCAAAACACTGGGGGATGAGGGCATGAATGGGAATGGGGTGGGGTGGGGGGGAGAGGGAATGGTAAGATTTGTATACATATAATAACAATAAAAAATGGGGAAAAAACAAATGGTGACTAAATGGTAGTTTGCTTCATAATATTTCATTAAACTGTACATTTATCTTTTATGAACTTTTATACATGTGTTATATTTTATAACAAAAAGGACAAAATAAACAATATTAAAATTTCTAATTGATGAACCCAGCTGAAAATTTTCTAGCATCTGGTGACATCACAGCCATCATGATGTCATAGTGCAATGCATGATTCACTTGTTTGTGGTGACGCTGTGTAAATAAACCTACTGTGTTGCCAGTGGTATAAAAGTAGAGCACAGAGATAGTTCCCTGGCAGAAGAGACACTATGATCACAAAGATGGTTTTCCTAGAGGCTTACCCATTGCATGTGGGATGTGGCGACCCCTGCAATTTCCCCAGATGTGGGAAACTCAACTGCACAATATATGGTAACAGGAGACCCCATTTGCACTCTCCCCTGACACCCCCCCCCCAAACTAAAGTATAGAACAGACAATTATGTACAGTACATCTATATATAAAAAAGGCAGTGACCTCAATGACTGAAGGCTTCATTGAACACCGGAAGTCAGTCCTATAGTCAGAGCTGGGTTGTCTTGGTGACCCAGTACTGACTGCCTCTGCTGCGGGTGTGGCGACCCAGCACTGACTGTTGAGGGGGCTCAGATCAGGCCTCGAGAGAGGCCTGGAGAGAGAAGCAAGGTCTGATCTGTAGCCTTCATGGCAGCTGTTGATCAGCCCTTGTCTCTCTCTTTCTCTCTGGGCCTGGTTAGCAGCTGTGCCTCTCTTTTCTCTTTGGACCTCCATGGGAGCTGCTGATCAGCCCTTCCTCTCTGATCAGGCCTGGATATAGGCCCGGAGATGCTGACTGGCATAGAAACCAACCAATCAGGACCAAATCTGGGTGAAATGTGAAGGCAGAACCTAAGGTGGGGCTGAGAAGGGGTTTTAAAGCAGATGGGGTGAGATCAGATTGGCAGGGGAGGGAAGTTTGGGGCAAGATTAGGCCAGCAGGGGAGGGTAGTTAGAGGCAAGATAAGGTAGGCAGAGGCAGCTGGGGGCAAGATCAGGCCAGCAGTGGAGGGCAGTTAGGGATAATCAGGCAGACAGGCAGAGGCAGTTAGGGTCAATAAGGCAGGTAGGCAGGTGAGTGGTTACAGCCAGCAGTCCCAGATTGAGAGATGGATATCTGACTGCTGGTTTAGACCAGCAGTCTGACATCCCCCAAGGAATTCCCCCATTGGAGAGGGTCTAGGCTGGGCTGAGGGTCCCCCCCCATGCACAAATTTTGTGCACAGAGCCACTAGTAATTCTTAATAATAAACAACTCTGTCAGTGGTTTACATATTTACTATACTAGTACTATACTTTTTACTGTTATTTTATTTTAATATATTTTTATTGGTTTCAGAGAGGAAGGGAGAGTGAGAGATAGAAACATCAATGATGAGAGAGAATCATCGATTGGTTGCCTCCTGCACACCCCCTATTGGGGATCAAGCCCACAACCCAGGCATGTGCCCTTGACCAGTATCAAACCAGGGACCCTTCAGTTCACAGGCCAATGCTCTATTCACTGAACCAAACCAGCGAGGGCCTTTTTACTGTTATTTTAGAATATACTCTTCTTATTTATAAATGCAAGTTTCCTGTAAAACAGCAGGAGCCTCACACCTCTTGTGTTACTTGCATCTCTTGATTGCAACATTTCCTCTTGTCCTTGATTTTGCCTTGTGTTGTTTTGTACAGTAACATGCTGTGCGAGGTTATAGCCTGGGAGCAATAGGTTATGCCTGTGGGTGTTCTCTCTTTTCTGCATCCAGCATGGAAAAGGAATGGATCTGGTTCCTGAGTAGAGGAGCTGGGAGTTGAGAAAAAAGAAAGCAAGCAAGATGTAGAAATAGAAACATAAAGCTGGGAACCAGGTGGGATACTGCCTCCTCTGATGGAGGGGCAGGGACTCCAAGCCCACTCAGCACATTTATTTATATATCCCAAAATACCAGGAAGTATCACCAAAACTTAGGATCAAAGGAGCTTATTTGCATTCTTGAGTAGGCCCTAGCATTCCTGGTGCTTGACTGGATTTATATATCAAAGCCCGCTCCCTAACACCTGGACAAAGGTAAAAAGTCAGTTCTGATAACATGTCCAGCCTTTTGGGGGAAGCATATTCCCAGGGTGTGGCTCTGCCTATTGCCTTGAGTTCAGTTGACAATAATTACAGAAATGCCCATGTGCCTTCCCAGGGGCCCTCTGCAATGCCTTAGAGCCCACATGTGCTAGGTTTGTGTAAGTACTCTACGACATTCGCACGATGACAAAGTCGCCTAAGGACACATTTCCCAGAATGTCTCCCTGTCACTAAGCAGCACATGACTGTATTAGAGTTCCTTCACCTGCACGTACAGATAGACGAAATCCTGGCTTCACAGTCAGCTGATTGTGCCACTGATTCACTGGAATATCGTGCAGGTGGACCGACAGCAGACTGTTTTCCATCTTTGAATATTTCTTCCACTGGAGAGAGAAGAAAATGTATTCTGCCCACCATGGACTATCAGACACTATGCTAGCAGCTCTCAAGCATTAAAATATTAAAATAGAAGACATGTCTCGGGCTATCAGAGAATTCATAATATAGAGAGACATTTACAAACAACTATATAATTAGATAGTGAATGGACATCTTGCTCAAGCTAGAAACCCCACGTTATGTGCCAGGAAGAAAAATGTCTAAAGAGTTACAATAAAGTGACCCAAGGATAAATCACAAATAAGGTTCAATGGACAACTTCTCAGTTGAAGAAAATATTGATTCAAGCCAAACAGGAGCCTAAGTCTTGGCATCACACTTTGGACGTATATTACCTTTACTGAATAAACTGTTCAGACTGTAGTGCTGTTTATATTCACAGGCTGCACAATGATACCCATGTGGTTGGTCCAGAGATGAGAGTCAGCAGGATGTTGGGGTCCTGTTGGGGTCAAGCCAACTCTGTGCCCATCCACAGGCCTGCAGCCCAATGCTTCCTAAGGTTTTCTGCTTTGCATTCTAGTGCCAATGGGGGGCTTGGTCAGGGGACAAGGGCAGGGGGGAGGGGAGAATGAGAAATTTGAGGTGGTGTTTTTTGTTGTTCTTTTTGTTTGTTTTTTGATGTTGAGGTGGTGTTTTGATATCTTCCAGGATGAGTAAAGAGGTTACTTATAATACAGATCAGTGACATAAAGGAGAGGCACAATCAGTGAATCTTCTCCCCCATTCCCCATTTTTAACTTTTCTTTGCTGTCACAACTTTCCATGTATTTTTCTGATCATTTAATAAAGTATTTTGAGAAACAAGCAGGTCAAAGACTTGAGGAAACATATGCCAATACCGCTGAGCACATTTTCCTCCCAGACACCCACTTCCAGCCGGCCATCTGCTCTCTGTCAGCCAAGTGTTTATAGCCTTGCTTTCTCTCCTTCTCACAGGCCCTGCTTTGAGTGCCATGGAATCCAGTATTGTTTCCCTCCCCCTGAAAAAACAACAGCCTAGAGTTAACTTCTTATCACTGCATCATTTCCTCCCATTTCAGATGCTATGATAAAGTCACTCTAAATTGTTAAAAGATTTAGGTTATATCTGATCAGTAATGTGCCACCTATTCAGCTTCACCTCCTGACTTTTCACTTGTCATCCTGCAACCCTCTAAATGGACTTAATAACCGTAAGTCAGTAGAACACTGTGTATTAGGTTATGAGCATTCAGTGTCATTTTTTTAAAGCTGGCTTTTGTTCACAATTTGGGAGATAATATTATTAACCTAGAAATCAGCACTAAGGATGAGAGAATTGAATGTTCACGAGTGTAATCAGATCTATTCATGCTGGTGTACCCAGAAGGCTCTCATCTCTAAGGAGGAAATCATCCCTCTCAATTTAGGACTGACCCAGAGACCCTGAGTCTGGGGGCCTTTGTACTAACCTTTCTCAATTCACAGAGCAGAGCAGCTGGGGGACTCAGGACCCTTGACAAGGAGCCGGCTCCCTGATTAACCCTTTCCTTTGCTCAGGCCCTAAAAGGCCCACGTTCCAGCTGGTCTTGCCATTAGATCTGCATCATTGGGCAAAAGAGAAACTAGTTAAGTACACATTATATGTGATGATAACTCACCCCCTTCACACACACCCCACCACTGTCCCCTAATCCTAATCCAAAAAGCTCCCTACCACTTAAGAACACATTTATTAACAGCCCAAGTCTAGGTACAACTCATAATAAACTGAGAGACCTCTTTTCTGGTGTTTGGGTTTTAAAGTAACAGCTCTCCTGAGGAAGACAAACCAGAACTTTCTATTTACATTAGCAAGGTGGTCCAGACACCCACATCCAGGAGCACATAGGCCATCTCAGATGGGGTCTAACAGCACTTCAGTGTTGCAGCTGCAAGGTGGGGACACAGAGGAAGGATGTGAGGAGAAGGATGTGGTGGAGAGGAGGGCCCTCGGGGTTAGCTGTCTCTGGAAATGCCCCCTGCCCTGTCCACCTTTGTGGAAGACAGATGTGCAGGACAAGTTCCAGCTCATAGATACACCTCATGGGTGGGACACTGGGGCCCAGGTGTGTGTGTGCAGCATCCCCTGGGCCTCAAGGGCACCCACATCTGTGCTTAGAAGGTCTGGACACATATTTCTGGAAAGGATTTGGGATATCGCTCTCCAGCTCTGTCACCCTCTCAGACAGGAAACAGACTCTGAGGTGATGGGAACAGATGACCATGGAGGTGGCTGTGGGAACCCAGATGGGCTACATGGTGAATCCAAAATGTTGGGGAGATCTGGGACCCCACAATGAGACTGTCTACCTCATTGTGTGCAAATTGTTCTAACCTTTCTGTAAAGCTATTTGCTGGTAACATACTGCATTGCAAATATTTAAAAATGTTCCTTCCCTCCAATCCAACTCCTCATACTCTGGTAATCTGTACTAAACAAGAGTAGAGATGATTATTTATGACTATTTTTTTAAATAAATAATCTAAATGTCCAACTACAGGGAGGATAATTTAATAAATTATGGTAAATCATGCCATACTGAAGGGTTTAAAAATGTTACCCACATAGTTTTCAGTGACATGAGGAAAAATACCCGATATGATATTAAGTGACCAAAGTAGCTCTCTTCTGGCAAACCAAGCATGCTTCCAGTTATGGACTTAGAAAGGAAATGTGGCACACATTTTCTAATATTCCATCACCTATAGTTTGTAGTAAGCATAAGAGATTGTTTTTCTGTTATACTATCCTGAATTTTCTACAATTTTTATAGAAATTGCTATAATTTCTATACGCTACATTTATAATTGGAAAACATGATATTTAAACCTGCTCTGATCATACTATCATTATCAACTTCTTTGAAAGTTATAAATCACAAAAATGACTGTTACTAAAGAACATGCATTATCAAATTA